GGGGGGGGGGGGGTGTTGGATGTTTAAAGTGTTCAGAAATAATGAATTGGCCATGGCTTGTAAAGCAATTTACAATACCACAAGAGCCATATGTGTTACAAGAATTCTCAATGCAGTCCATTCTGATAAGTTGGTGTTTTAGACTGTGTACTTAAATTGGTACTGAGTTATCCCGTCAAGAAGTTGATTACTTGATTTAGCATAAATCTCCTTGAAATTGACTTATTGAAAAAAAAGTATCTCCTTCAAATTGTGTAAAGACATGAAGACTCCACCGGGTGAATGCTTCTGTATTGAGAGGGTAATTTGATCTTGTTATATGGGCGAAAGGCTGCGCATTAGATCCATGTTGTAAACTTTGGTCTCTTTGAATTGCAGGTTGCTGATTATGGACTTGTGGGTGATCTTTTCGAGGTCATTCCGGAGTTATTAGAGAAAATTCCTGAGAAAAAGTAGACAAATACCAATGTATTCCTTAGAGAACTTAGAAAATACAGGAAAGTCCATTCAATAAGATGAAGATGATGTATGTGGTGGAGGACGTATTGTCATCCACGAATAATATATAATTATTGTATTATTTCAACAATTTTTCACTGCTATTCTTCTTCGTCATCTGTGTCTTGTAAGTTCTGATAATTTACCTGCATCTTGGATTACACGTACCAATTAGTTTCTGAATTTTAGGTCTTAGGACTTCTTCATGTCCTTTTGAGAAGCAGTTTGCACATAGCACAACACTTAAAGATTAGCTGCGCCAGTAGTGGGTACCTCTTCAATAGTTTGTTAGTTCAAGGGGCAGTAGGAAATTCTGTGTAATACCAGGTTAAACAATTCCTTGTGTACGTAATAGCCCAGTTTACCAAGATAAGGATTTGAATCCGGAGGATTTTGCATTACAGCTGATTGAGTCCGGAAATGTTACCGATAATAAGATTATTAACCATGTTCCTGTGACAGTTCTTAAACATTAATGTCAAATTCATAAATCACATGACAAAGTGGTAATTTTAAGTTTCTGAAGGAACAAAATATGCTAAATACTACATCATTTTCCTTCTCTCACTGGGCTTTACACCACTCTTTGAGAGTAAGTGCATAGTCTTTATCTCATAAGTGCATAGTCTTTATCTCATGGAATTGACTCCGCCAAAATAATATTAGCTTTGATACCAAAGAAGAACCGCGGAAGAAGGAGCAACCCCACAAAATTTTGAAAAAGATAATACATACATGTTATAAAATAAAAGCAACGTAGAAAAACAAAGTAACAAGAACAATATAAGAAGAGATATCTTATTTCTTTCTTTCACTTGTGTGTGTTTACCCATTAGACTATAAGGCTATTTATAAGCCTAAAAAGTGAACTTGCACTCTATCAAACAGTAAAAGCAATGAGAGTACTCAACATCAAATAGTAAGGGAAATGGATGTCTATAGTAGCACGGGCATGCACTCTCTTAATCTATTCACAACACCCCCTCGGATGTCCATGTAAAATAAATATGTTTTACTTAGATTTTACTAGAAAAGAGTACATAGTTATATGTAATATGCAATACTTGCTGCCTCGTTAAAAACCTTATCAGAAAAACGCAATGGGATAAAATCTTGGTTAAGAAAAAAAGAGTGTAGTGCGTAGTTACTCCCCCTGATGAAAACATCACTTAATGTATCGAAGACGACGCGTTCCAATCTTGCATATCAACTTCTCAAATGTTGAGGTTGGTAATGACTTAGTGAATAGATCTGCCAAATTATCACTTGAACGAACTTGTTGAACATCTATTTCACTATTCTTTTGAAGATCATGAGTGAAAAAAATTTCGGTGAAAAGTATTTTGCTCTATCTCCTTTGATGTATCCTCCTTTCAGTTGAGCTACGCACGCAGCATTGTCCTCATACAATGTTGTTGGAATATTCCCTCGAACAAAGTCTACATGTTTTCTGAATGTGTTGAGTTATCGATCTCAACCAAATGCCTTCTCGACTTACTTTATGAATGGCTATTATCTCTACATGATTTGAAGAAGTAGCAACCATAGTATGTTTCGTTGATATGGTTGTACCTCCACATGTAAATAAATAGCCTTTCTAAGATCGACCTTTATGTAGATCAGATAAATATCCTATATCTGCATAACCAATTAATGCTGATTTTGATTCACTTGAATAAAATAAACCCATATCAATGGCCCCCCGGAGGTATCTGAATATATGCTTAATACAATTCCAATGTCTTAATGTTGGGGAAGAACTAAAACTTACTAACAAGCTTACTGAGAAAGCTATATCTTGTCGGAAATTATTGGCAAGATACATTAATGCTCTAATTGTACCAAGATATGGTATTTTGGCACCAAGAAGCTCTTCATCATTTTCATGAGGTTGAAATAGATCTTTATTATGTCAAGTGATCTCACAACCATCGGGGGTACTTAATGGATGTGCTTTACCCATATAGAATCACTTTAAGATCTTTTCGGTGTATGTTGATTGACGGACAAAAATTTCATCTTTCATATACTTAATTTGCAGACCAAGACAAAATCTTCTTTCATTTCAAATTCTTTCTTCAAACAATCTACTGCCTTTGGAAGCTCCCCAGGAGTTTCAATGATATTTAAATCATCAACATAATATAACAATTATAACAAATTCAGATCCAGAATTTTTTATAAAGACACAAGGACAAATTGGATCATTCTTTCAACAGGTACTCCCTCAGGTGATTATACCACATGGGCCATGACTGTTTCAATCCATATTAGGATTTCTAAAGCTTTATTGAACAAGTTTCTCGAAAACTTATATTCTTTAGGTACTTTAAATCCTTCAGAGATTTTCATAAAAATTTTGTTGTCTAATGAACTATACAAATAGGCTGTGACAATATCCATTAGACGCATATCAAGCTTTCATGCACTGTCATATTTATAAAATACCCGAAGATGATAGCATCTACCACAGGAGAATATTTCTCCATATAATCAATACCAGGCCTTTGCGAAAATCGTTATGCCGCAAGTCGCGCTTTATATCTAACAACTTTATTTTTATCATTTCGTTTTTGCACAAAAACTAATTTGTACCCCACTGGATTTATACCTTCAGGTGTTCGGACTATAGGTCCAAAGACTTTACGTTTTTCAAGTGAAGTTAATTCTGGCTGGATAACTTCTTTTTGTTTTGGCCAATCATTTCTCTGTCTATATTCATCGATAGATTTTGGTTCAATATCCTCATCTTATTGCATTATTTCAACAACAATATTATACGCAAAAATATTGTCAACAACAATATCATTTTGGTTTCGCTTTTTTCCCGTAGTGACATAACTTATTGAGATATCTTCATTCTCATTATTTTCAGGTACCTGGACCTCCCCTGAGGTCTTATAATTTGTTATGTCTCGAGGCTCTTCTTGAGCCACTACCTCCGTATTATGACCAGCTTGATCATTTGCTCCTTTCCTTCTTCGAGAATTTTTATCTTTAGAACCGATTGGTCTACTATATTTCAAGCTTGACTTGACTCGTTTGCACTTATTGATTGTCCTATTGGGATATCAACTCGAATTAGAGCATTAGCATCTAGAATATGTGACTTAGTCACCCTTGGTAGGTGAGTGAATGCATATGGAAGTTGATTTGTAATATTTTATAAGTAAATTATCTTTTGAACCTCTTGTTCACATTGATTTATACGAGGATCCAAATAAGATTGTGATAATACATTCTAATCTATCTCTCTTTTCAGCAGTTTATTTTCTCCCCCTAATATTGGGTATACTGATTCATCAAAATGACAATCAACAAATCTTTCCGTAAATAAATTTCCAGTTATATAGAAGGAGATACATACCCAATATATATCCCCAATTTTCTTTGGGGACCCATCTTTGTGCGTTGTAGTGGAGCAATTGGAACATACACCGCACAACCAAAAATTCTAAGATGGGAATTATTTAATTCCTGACCAAATGCCAATTGTAATGGGAGACTTTATGATAACTTGTGTGCCTTATCCGCAAAAGGGTTGCTGCATGCAAAGTAGCATGACCCAAACTGAAATCGAAAGTTTTGTTCTCATAAGCATTGATCTAGCAAATAATTGGAAGCGTTTGATCAATGATTCTGCTAGACCATTTTGAGTATGAACGTGAGCAACCAATTGTTATCCCAGTTGATATACAATAGTCATTAAAGGCATGTGATATAAATTACCAGAATTATCAAGACGAATTGTCTTAATTACATAATCTAGAAATTGTGCTCTTAGCTTTATTATTTGAGCCAACAATCTCGCAAATGACATATTGCGAATTGATAACAAGTACGCATAGACCATCTTATAGATGCATCTAATAAAACTATATAATACTTGAATGGTCCATATGAAGGGTATGGGCCCACATATATCACATTGTATACGTTCTAGAAATGCAGGGGATTCAATTCCAACCTTAGCTGCTGATGGTCTAATAACCAATTTTCCTTGAGAACAAGCAGCACAAGAGAAATCTTTAGATTGAAGAATCTTCTTATTCTTCAATGTGTGCCCATGTGAATTCTCAATTATTTTGCGCATCATATGAGAACCGGGATTACCCAATCGGTCATGCCAAATGATAAAATCATTAGAATCAGTAAATTTCTTATTTATTATGGCATGTGATTCAACTACACTAATACTTATGTGATACAATTTAGATAAAAATGCGGGTAACTTTTTATGTATACATCTTTTTTTCACTTTTATTGTAGTAATATAAAGGTATTCAACCTTTCCTTCATTGGCAGTCTCAACATGGTAGCTATTTTGGCGAATAACTTTAAAATTCAATAAGTTTCTTTGAGACTTACTACAACACAAGGCATTATTTATAGCTAATATTGTTCCACCAGGTAGTAATAAATCCGCTCTTCTAGAGCCCTCAATTAATTTTTTACTAACTGATATTGTATTCACATATGCCTTTTTCATAACTAAATAAGAGAAATATTTCTTTCTCTTAGTATCGTGTGAGTTGTAGCACTATCCAGAAGGCATATATCTTCATTATTCATCTTAGATCCAACTGAAGAATTTTATTTTCTTCATAAAACAAAAGTACATCATATGAAATACAGAAAAACTGATAACACTATAAGATAACTTAAGGTACTTGAAAATTAAAATCACATAAGAAAGAACAAGACAATTAAACACAGAAATAAAAGCAACAACATAATTATATTTCCTAGTAAAATGGACAAACTTTAGTTTTGATTCCCAAAGATATCAATACCCAAAATTTTAACCCGTCGTGATGGTCTCTAACACACTTACTAGGCAAGCCGACAATCACATAACTACTAAACATTTGAATAAACATGCTTTAATAAACTCAACAACGAAAATCTAATAAATATCTAATACAAATAACTGAAATACTATAACAACCACCCTAAAATTTGGTGTCAACGAGTAAATAAGCATTACTGAGTATCAAACATAAACCAAATCCTTAGTACAACCGTCTGAATAATAGAACAGTACTGAAGAAAAAAATGGAAAGAGAGTCAAGGTCTGCGGATGTCATAGCAGCTACCTTGAAATATCCAAGCACTTG